GATGTTATGTTTATGGTATACAATATCTTTGTTTGTTAATTTTGGTTTCAGTTTTGAGACTTGGATTTGATATCTGAGTCAGGAAAGTAGTTAATTATTTGATTTCGGTTGTTCCGTTATCAATTTAATTAATTAGATAGTAATTGAGGTTGCTTGTGGTTGAATTACATTTCGCTATAATCCCTATCTATTCTACGGTTAACCGAGGTGTCACAAGCAAAATATATGTAGCAAAAGGTCGACTCGACCACTATAGAAAACAAATGGAACGGAAGGCGGGATTATCGGATTTACCTCGGATCTTTTGATTGAATGGGCCTTCCATATCTAGTGAAAGGAATTCTTTTGAAAAGTTGTCTTCCTAGGACAATGCAAGGAAAACTCAATCTATTTTCTCTTTGTGTTTTATAAAGTTGTAACAGTAGAGAGGGAGATATATCAAAGTTTATTGAAGAAAGTAAACAAAACTTACCTTTCTAAATAGGTATACGTCTATGTAATAGAGTAAGTAGACCGCTTTTTTATCCTATAGTTTATTAGACCAATTTATAATACTTAGCCACTAATTATCTTCGTATTTTTCTAAATAATACCGGCAATTTGGTTTTCTCTTTTTAACAGGTGAGTTTTCTTTAATATCAAGTTGCCGTGCTAATTTTGAGCCGGGGGAGCTGCCGAGTCAAAAATTGCTAAGGATGCTTCGTGGAGGAGCGAAACATATTATGTAGAGTACGGTTCGAGTGGTTTGTTGCGTGTCGTGTGTGTGTCTTGTCTCATATCTCTGCTACAAGAGCGTTTATTGACGGGCGGAGGGCGGTGCTGCATACTGCATGCTGCAAATTCATTCCTTCAGCTAAATATGTTCCCAGTTGTTAGTTACGCATGGATTTACGCAAAGTAACGCCTGAATCTATTCTATGTATTACATAGTTGGTCAGTGAAGTGGTCGCAACCGCGAAAAATGAGCGACGGGATTTCGGTTTCGATTCTAGAGTTAAACCAATTAACTACCTAGGTATTATAATTTATTTATTTATACATTTGGAAAAGTAACAGCTAACAGCGATTTGATTAAATAGAATGTGGTAGGTAGGCAACAAAAACCAAATTGTTGGTTTTCACGATTAGTAACAGAGAATAGAAACATGCCAAACACAGTACTAAAATTACTTATTAAACTACAGGCGATCTATAATGATGCACAAATGACTTCAAATATTAAGAATCGTATAGGTACCCACTATAAATTAAAGAAATTAAGGTTCAGCTTTCTGCGCGGCTTAGTGAGCTTTATGTCAATGGGTCAAAAGAAAACTCTTTATAGAGTTTACTGGAATCATAACATATTAGTAATAAGACAATTATCTAGATATTCTTATGCTTATTATTATTTTGAGATAGATACTTACTTAGATAATGTAATAGCTAATTAATACGCTAACGTCTCGCCAGGAGCTAATTTTCAGATAGGCAGAATCAGTAGCGAGATTAACTGTCAGGCTGCGACGTCCCTACTTAATCAATTGTCACTCAGTGCGGCCCTGGAGCTAAAGACGCCTCATTGAGGTCAAAAACTAAATTTAGGGACGATTAGATAGATAACTGTATTGGTATAAGGTACGAAGGTCTATAGCTAGTCTGATTTAACCTTGTTTGTTGTTAGTTCTGCTGAATTATAATTAAGTAGATACAAGATCCCTGAATTGAATTCTCGGAAATAGGAGAATTTGATGAAATATACGTGGCTCCTGCCCTACAAGTATTGCATGTTTAGTAGGTATGTCCTAAAATTGTGATCACAACTTGTGTGTGTGTGTGTGATCTAAGGAAGGCTGCCCGTTGTTCAGTAAGTCCACTATTCCAGCTGATGATGGTGACGATGCGAGTTATATAATTATGTCGAATATACTTAAATAACTTTACCGACTACATCAACAACTTCTAAGAAAAGTGCATGACCTTCAACTTCTTCTCATACCTATCCAGTCACATTATCTTCATTCTTAAGCCGGGTGATTTTTCTTTCAGCGCTAACACATAAAAGTAAAGGCGGCGATATCGTAACGAATGTTACAGACTCGGGTACGTGTTTAGCGTGCCGAAATAATGCCCCCGGGGGCTATAAACTGCCTACTAGCGAAAGGATATCGAAAGAGTAATTCTTATTGAAACAACGATGAAAAACTGAGGTATATGTCTCGTAAAATATTGTATCTTACCATATGACTTTCAATGTTGGTTTGAACACGTTGATTTATGAAAGTTCCCATAGTTAGTATTTTTACTAGCGGATTTAGGTGCCTGTAGCGGCTGTAGGTGTCCTACTTTGTTAAGCAGCTTCTGAAAGAACTGTATATAGGTATTTGTTTGACCTACATAGCCATGAGATTGATACAGAAACAATCCCTTGTTTTTTATTGGCAGTTTCAGCGATTCCAAGTTTGAAAAATTTACGAACTGGTTCGCGGTAAAAATGTCCACCAGTGAGATACGGCGGTGCGGCGGAGGCACTTCCCGTCGCGGTAAAAGGGAATTGTTCCCGGTTTAGAAAAGATTTAACACTGCGGCGAACTGTGTTTTATTATCTATGGCAATCCGGCCTAGCTTCGGATAAACGAGGAGGCAGAATGAATGGTCATTTGCACATTTCCGAATTTGATTTGTTGAATGCTTAGTTAGCAGTTTTCAAACATGTGCGTCGTCTTTTTCGGCTTTCATTTGGTTCTATTTAAAACTACCTACCTACCTGTTTTGGTAGTTATTTCCTGAGATCAGACCTGTACCTATATTAGATTAGCCCAATTATTAAGTGTCTTGTGGTAGATATTTATAGATACCTATACAAATATAGATATTTATAGATATTTTCACAAAATTATTTGGATCTGTACTTATTCATACTACAGATTCATCTCGTTTATCATAGCATTATTGTTTGCGCAACAACCACTCAATCTTAAAATAAATACAGTAAGGGATAATGAAGCTTGCTGCCGCCTGCCGGCATTACGTAAAGTGCTTTATTACAAGGAGTTAAAGTTGAAATTAGAGTAGATGAACCTAGAGCTAGTTAGATATAATCCACCGTTATTAATGTGAATTGAGAGATCCTTCTCATTAGAGAATTATTAAAGTTTGTAGATTGCCACTTGTATTATGTATTTAAGTACAGAATTTTCTTAAATTCAAATAATTTTTAGCTATAGTCTCCACTCTTCTTTAAGCATGATGAAAATTGGCCACAAATAAGACTGCGCGGCTGGAAGATGACGTAAAGAAAGCCGCCAGCTCGAACTGGCTACAGAGGACATACAGCATAACGTAAGAACTAAACATGGATATTATAGGAGGCTTACACTAAACAGATTATTAAAAGTAAAAAAGGTCTAAGCATAGGAAGAAGATATTTTTATTTCTAATTGACATAAAGGGCCAAGTATATTTGGTCAAATGTTTTGTCACAATGTTACTGTTAGTAGTGCTCTATTTCGTCGTGGTAGCCCGGACGTATAAGAAGCCCGCTTTCACGCATGACGGCGCGGGTTCGAAACCTACCAACGGAAAGTACCAATGTGACTTTTTCTGAGTCAGGTACATGTACTTTCTAAGATTATTTAGATACCACTGACAAACCACGAAGGAAGAAGATCGTTTGGGGCTTATAATTTATAATTACAAGTTTAAAATCGCCAACCTGCATTGAGGGAGCGTGGTGATTAATGCTTAAACCTTCTCCGTGTGAGAAGAGGCCTTTGGTCAGGACTGACGACGAATACCATTAAAATATTTAGGAATCGAGTAAAGAAATGACAAACGACTGAATAAGTAGTTATTGAATAAGTATAATAATAATATTTATTTATTTCTCTCATCATCATTTACATAATAAAATACAGCAAACATTTTACAACTAAACCTGAGACTGGTGTCTGTTGTGGGTGAAACCTGTATCACAGATCACCAGATATAATGAGTAGGATACAAACAAGAATGAATAGAAAACATTTCTATTATATAACCGTGGCCGTAATACGAAATAGGTATTCGAACAAATGAATTCTAATCCCTAACGTATAGTAAACACGCACTTGAACAATTTATTGAAAATATAATCTCGTTCGAAAGCAATTTGGAAAACAATTTTCGTTTCCTCTCATACAATTACTTTGCCGAGATTTAGCTCACAGACGAGTAGGTTGTTACTAAACTTTAAGCTACGTAAAATATTTTATTACACGAACTAATGTTAAAAATGTCATAACAAGAGTCACACGGGATTCAGAGAGGAGTTTCTCTTATGCACAAAACTTTTTACTTTTATGTTGACTTCCGTTT